GGGGTTAGAGGGGTGTAGGAATTGGGTTTAGGGGACCTATAGGGGGTTTAAGGGGTTAGAGGGGTGTAGAAATTGGGTTTAGGGATTTTGTAGGGGGGTTAGAGGGGTGTAGGAATTGGGTTTAGGGGTCTTGTAGGGGGGTTAGAGTGGGGTAGGAATTGGGTTTAGGGGATCTATAGGGGGTTTAAGGGGTTAGAGGGGTGTAGGAACTGGGTTTTAGGGATCTACAGGGGGTTTAAGGGGTTAGAGGGGTGTAGGAACTGGGTTTAAGGGATCTACAGGGGGTTTAAGGGGTTAGAGGGGTGTAGAAATTGGGCTTAGGGGTCTTGTAGGGGGGTTAGAAGGGTGTAAGAATTGGGTTTAAGGGACCTATAGGGGGTTTAAGGGGTTAGAGGGGTGTAGGATTTGGGTTTAGGGGATCTATAGGGGGTTTAAGGGGTTAGAGGGGTGTAGAAATTGGGTTTAGGGGTCTTGTAGGGGGGTTAGAAGGGTGTAAGAATTGGGTTTAGGGGATCTATAGGGGGTTTAAGGGGTTAGAGGGGTGTAAGATTTGGGTTTAGGGTGAGCGCAGGGTGTTAGGAGCAGGTGTGGGGGAACTCTAGGGGAAGCTGAGGAACCTCAACGTTCCCGAGCAGGTAAGCAGCAGGTGTGGGGGGGTTTGGGGGTGGACAGAGGGAGGTTGTGGGGTGGCCTGGGTGTAGAGCCAGGTTTAGAGAAGCTGGAGCGGCGTTCGGGGGTGTCTCGGGGCGCAGAGGTGGATTTAGGGGTGCTGCAGGGGGTCCATTGGGGTCTCTCGAGGTCGTGGGGTCGCAGCCCTTGTTTTGTGTGGTGGGGGGGCTCAGCCCCGGGGGTGGGCCGCCCGCATTTTGGGGGGGTCAGGGGCGGGGTAAGGGGTGTCATGTGCTGTTTGTGCTGACCTGGCGTCACCTGGCAATGGGGGGGGGAGATCCAGGGGGGCTTCTCACCCCCCTCTTCCTCTCTCCTCACCCCAAATCCCACCCTTTGCCCCCAGCCCTGACCTTTGACCCCGCCAGAGTGCCTCGGGGGTGCTGGGGGGGTCGGGCTGGGGGGCTCTTTGGTCACCCCCTCCCCCGGCACCGCCCCGGGTTATTTTTAGGGCTCTCCTTGGGCGGGATTGAGGCAGGGACGCGGAGCCGGGGCCCCCTTCCCACCCCGCAGCCCCGGCCGGGAGCTGCCGGGGCGGTGGGCGTCGGCGGGGGTCCCGCGCGCCGGGCAGAGGGGTCCCGGCGGGTGACGACGTTCCTCTGTCGCGACAGGGTGAGGCTGTCGCGGGCATGGCGGGCGCCTCGGTGAAGGTGGCGGTCAGAGTCCGGCCCTTCAGCGCCAGGGAGAGCAGCCGCCAGGCCAAGTGCGTCATCCAGATGCAAGGGAACACCACCTGTGAGTGAGTGGGGGGCGCGTGGGACGGGGGTCCGCAGAGGGAGCACCCCCAGGGCCGGGGGGACCGCGGTGGGACCCCCCCCGCCCCGTCCCCGTCCTTGTCCCGTGCTGGCCTCGGGCCCGGAGGACCAGCTGCCGCCGGGCTAAAAATAGCAACGGCGAGGTTTTTGGGGGGGGTGACGGTGCTGTGGGGGTTGAGGGTGACGTGGGGGGGTCACCCCAACGCCGCCGTCACCTCCGCACCCCAGGCATCACCAACCCCAAGCTCCCCAAGGACGCCACCAAGCACTTCACCTTCGACTA